ATCACCTGCAGAACTTAATTCTCTAAAGGGCATGTTCTGTGTCCCACCTATCTCCCAAGGGACACTCCTTGACACATGTCAACTAGCTATCTGTGGGGTACACAGCAGGGACATCAGGCCTCCAACTGTAAGCCTTGCTGTGGCCCAGATCACCCGTAGCCCCAGCTGGTCCTGCAATAGAGCCAAGGCGGGCGGGGGTACCCCTGGGAACTGGTACCTGCTGGGTCCTAAAGGAGGGGGCAGGTGTCCCCAGACAGCACAGGGGTTTGTAGAAATGACATTGTGACTGCTGGGTGTGAGCGTCCCCTCCCACCAGCACCTTGTGCCTCTGGGACAGTCAGGATCACCTCGGCGTCTGGCCCCCAGGCAGGGCGTTGCACCTGCACAGCAGGTACACAGCAGGCACAAAGCAGGTACACAGCAGGTGCACAACAGGCCTGGCACAGGGCCAGGAACACCAACAGCTTCTGCAGGAAACGGGCAGCGGGGAGCTCCTGCGGGTTTTCACATGGGAACACTTTGACACTTTACAGCCAGGCCTTTTAATCTGTCTCTTCTGAAGCCTCCCTCCACTGTTAAGTGACCGCATAGTCCATTAGGAGATCGGCAGGGGCCGAGCCTGGGCAGCAAGCAACCCCCGTTTTCCTGCTTTCCTGAGATTCTCAGCAGGGTATTGGGGTCCCACCTGTCAGGGCACTAAAGAGGAAGGGACAGAGCCCTGTGACCGCTGGCTGAGGGGCCTGTGGCAGACCCTCAGGCACGTGGTCTCCAGGGCTGCCATGGCGAGGCGGGGGGTCAGTGGGCAGTCTCTGCACCTGAGTGGGGCCTTGCCTGAGCCTGTGAATTTAAAACTCCTGTCTGTCTGCACTGCTGGAAGGGGCCACGGGGCAGGCGAAGAAGGTCAGCTGAGCCGCCAGGACGTGGTGCCCCGGTGGGGGGCAGGCGGGGGCGGGAGGGCCTGGCTCTCCCCAGGCAGATGTGGCGCAGGGAGGGCCCACGTCTGCCGCAAGCTAAGGGCCTGGGCCCATAGCCGGTCCTAAGCCTGGGTACCCCACCTGTCCCCCCACCCGTGACGAGGACAGTAGGCACAGCGGCTGCCCCACGTGATCAGTCAGGTGATGGGTCTCTGAGCCATGCTCTGGCCTCCCACGTTGCCTAAGGGAGCCCCTGTAGGAACCGTGGGGGCCTACCAACTCTGGAGCCTGTGGGAGCCTGTGTGGACTGCATGGGTGGATGAGGGCCCATGACGTCCTTCTGGAATAAGAGCTGGGAATCCGTTATCAAGGCTGGGCATGGCTCACTGCCACAGTCCGCGAACGCTCCGGCATCTGCCTCCTCCCGCCCAGGTGCTGCCCTGCACTCGCCGCAGCCCTCCATGCCCAGGAACCCGGAGATCCTGACGTTACCCTTAGCAACGTGCTGACGCAAATGCCAGCGGGCGGGTAGGGGGCTGTGGCTCCTCTGCCAGGCGTGGGGGCGGGGGCTCTGCCAGCCCTCTGCCAGGGGAAGGCAAGGCCTTGAGCAGAGTCGGGGCTGAAGAGCTCCGAGCTCCGTGTCTGGAGCCTGGCACTGGGCCCCCAGTCTCCTCTGGTTTCTGCAAAAATCAGCATGGCCTGTTCTTGGCTGCCTCGCCTTTGCTGGAGCCCGGGGAGAACAGTTCAGGGCCCTCCAAAAGGAGAAGGCAGGGTGGCAGCCCTGTCCCAGGCCTATGGCAGCAGGCGGGAGGAGGGCAGGGCACAGGAGAGGCGTGCCAGCGGCTGTGACAGGAGCTGCTTGCAGGCCCTGGGAGAGGCAGGCTCTCCTTGCTGCCTGGCCCGGCTCTCTCCTGGGCGGCCAGCCCACCTCAGTGGACAGCCGGCGGCAGAAATCTTGGAGGGTATTGTCTTTCCTCAGCAGCCTGTTTGTTTTCCATCCTGAGATATTGCTGGTAGAGCATGAAAGGTCAGAACCATTTGGAATCCAGTGAATTTCCAGCCTCGCTTGCTTGAGTTTCTCATCAAGAATTTCCTTTTCTGGTGAACAACCACCTCCCCAGGCCTGCCGAGACCAGGGTGGTAGCAGGAGGCGGGGCACAGGCCTGGCTGCCAGCCCCTCCCTTTAGAAAATGCCCTGAATGGCCCCAGAGCCTGGCTGCCTCCCGGAGGCCAGCTCGGCTTCACAGAGAGCCCCATGGCCGAACCAGCAGCCACTGTCTTCACCCAGGGCTTCCCGCTGCGGTTTCGCACAGGGCCAGGGCCAGGAGACGGCTGGGGATCCGAGGCCCTGCATGGGCTGCCTATCCACCCGGTCCTCCATCCAGCCTGGCTGTGCAGCCCCCCGCCCACATGTGAGCTGGACCCACCCTGTAACGAGTGACTGCAATGGTGGGGCCTGCAGGTGCCGAGCTGAGGTCAGGGAAGGCCTCTCACGGAGGTGACACCTAAGATGAGACCTGAAGGACAGGGGCAGGTGGGCAGGGGAATGATGGGGCAGGGTGGTCACGTGCTTAAGGCTGGAGAGAGCAGAGCACATGGGAGTGAATGAAGCCCACAAAGGCCAGACCAGAGACAAGGAGAAGCAGCGGGAAGTGGGGGATGGGCTGGTTGGAGCCAAGAGGGCCTCGGGCGAGAGAAGGCCTGGCCCTGGGCCTGTTTTGAGGACAGTTGGGCCACTTCCTGGTTGACAGCTTCAGAGAGCAGAGATGAAAGCCAAATTCCTCTATGAAACACAAGACCAACTCAGGACGCAGGCAGCCTGCCTCCTGTGTCCGGCACACCTGTGGGCACAGGCGTGGAGGGCAGAGCCTGCCAGTGGGCAGTCTGAGTGGCAAGCCCAGCGCCAAGGGAATTCGCCCCAACAGCCTTGGAGGTGACAGATAAGACAGCCCCAGTTCCAGGCCCCCAGAGGTCTCAGAGCACAGGCTCTCACCAGCCTCAGGACAAGCAGAAAAAGGCCGAAGCCTCGCGAGCCGGTCACCGTAGTCCATGTGGCTGGCAGGCCTGTCCCGGCACTGTCCCGGGGCCTAGGCTGGACACCTTGCTTTGCCTCAAGAGCCTCACAGCCTCGTCAGCCCCAAGCCCTCTGCCCACCGCGATGCCTCATCAAGGAGCCTGACCTTGCTCATCTGCTGGGATGTCCCCTCTGCCTAGAACCACACGTGGTGCTGAAGTCGGGACAGACAGACTAAGGGTGGCTGAACCCTCAAGACCACATAATGCTGGGAGCAATGCGGGCCTGTCCCTGTGGACAGCATCCTCAGCTCAGGCCACTCTCACCAGAGACACCGTCACTTCCTGGGGATCGCTTTGTGGAGAACCCCAGATGCAAAAAGGGGGAGTGAGGAGAGCCCTGCCTCCGTCTCCATGGCTGCCTGCAGCTGCTTCCCCTTCTCCAAGAGCTGGGCCTCCTCGTGAGCCATATGGGAGCTGCAGACCCTCCTTCCAGAAAGACGCTCAGGTGCCCAGCACAGTGGCCACGGCCTGCAGCCGCCCAGGGACCCTCGGGGATATAGGCCCAATGAGGATTTCCCAGCTGAGCCCCCAGATAAAGCTACCACCTGCTTGAAAAAAGCCCGGGTGAAGAAGCAAGTCCCTTCCTTGCCATTGCCCTGGTCCCGTCCTGAAGGCTGGGAGGAGAATTTACCAGCGTGGTGGGTCCCTTGAGAGCACCGTCACTCCCTCCCCCAGGTCCCTGCCAGCGGCCGCCGCCCCAGGCCCCTGGCACCCACAGCCCACAGCGCTTACAGCGCCTTTCAGACCCCACTTGCCTCCAGGCCTCCACCCAGGATCAAAGGCCTCTTGAGGGCAAATTCTGAGTCTTTGCTCAGCCCTCCTACCTGACACAAAGCTCCTGCAGGGAGGGTCTGGGGGAGACCCTGGCCACGCCTATCCCTTGTCTACCTGTGTGGCCTCATTCTACCACCGCCACTCCTGGAGCCAGGGAGCTGTGGCGCCCCGTGCACTGGGCCTTCTGCCTTGGTTGGGCTGCCCCCAGTCCTTACCAGCAACCTGGCTGTCCCCCTGCTCAGCAGCTCCCCTCAAGCCCCCACTGGCTCGGCACTGGGCCTGGGCTGCCCCCCGGCGCCCCTGTGTGCTGCCCCTGCCCCGTGCAGCCCTCCATGCACCGTGCTTCTCAGCCCGGGCTGGGCGCCTAAGAGAACTCCATACGCACCCAGCCCCTTGGGGTTAAATCCCGGAAAACAGTTCTTAAAATGTTTGATACCAGACTCTTAGGGGCCAGAGCTGCTGTTCTGGGACCCAGCACAGTGCCCAGGACTGGTAGGTGCTTCGTGCACCAACTAAGGTGCCACCTGGACCAACAATGGATGCCGGGCCCGGGCCTCGCCCTCTGCCGCCCTGCAGAGCCTCCAGCCTCCCTCCCGGCCTCCAGCATCACCCAGCGTGCCTGACTGCTCCCCAACCTCACCCGTAGCGAAGCCCCTCTCAGTGCCCAGCCCGCCCCTCCCCCTTCTTCAGGGAATCTTCCTTGACCCCCAGGTGGCTGAGGGTCCCTCCTGTGGGCTCTGAGCAATACTCTCTTGGTTGCTGAGGAGCAGGACCCACTCTCCTGCCCTTCGTACCCTGAGTCCTCGCTAGCACCGCCTGGGCACTGGGGCCTGTGAGTGCTCTGAAGGCAGAGCTGTCTGAGCTGGGTGAGGGAAGTCGTAGCCAAGGGGGCATCCCTGCGTGGCGGCGCCCTGATGTGGTCACTTGGAGAGGTTGGAGCCCTGAGGCCTGTCAGGGCACCCAGGTCAGAGTGGAGCCCTCCAGGCTGGGCGGCCACCGAGCGCTGCCCTCTGTGGCAGGCGTCCTGACAGCAGGTGTGACCCCAAGGTCCTGTGGTGCCTGTGGAACCCGCTGTGCTCCACATTCTACTCCCAGACACACACCTCACTGGAGCCGTCCTGGGCCCCTCCTGACGGCAGCCTTCCCCACCCCTGCCTTCGACACACCCAGAAACCCACCTGCTTCCCAGGAGCCAGCGGCGGCAGGAATAAGCAGAGGAAAAGCCTGACCACTCACCGTCTGGTTGTCCTCATAGAGCTTCAGGTCGTAGCCACTAAGCTCCACGCAGAAGATGATGGCTGTGACGCCCTCGAAGCAGTGGATCCACTTTTTGCGCTCTGACCTCTGGCCACCCACATCCACCATCTTGAAGGTGAGCTCCTTGAAGGTGAACTTGTTCTCCACAATGCCAGTGGTCATGTCCCGGGAGCGCAGGATGTCCTCGACAGTGGGGATGTAGTCGGGCGCAGCAATGCGCTCCAGGTCGTTCAGGTAGTAGGCCGCGTTGTCCTCCAGGTGGTACTCGCTAGAGCGGCCGAAGCAGGCCTGCGCCCCAGGGTCGGCCCAGAGCCGCCGCATGACGCCCAGCAGCTCTGGAGTGATCTCACCCTTGCTCTCAGCTGGACCCGTCAACGCGAAGAGCTGCACAGCGTCGTAGGCGCGATCGGGGTTGTGGAAGTCAATCTTGAGAGCGGCCAGGGCACGGATGATGCGGGTCAGTGAGTCAATGGCATTGTAGATGATGAGCGGCTTGTACTCCTTGCAGGCCTCCAGGTTGAAGCCTCCACTGTGGATGATCTTCATCTGCTTCACGATGGTGCTCTTCCCCGAGTTGCTGGTGCCCAGCAGGAGCAGCTTGATCTCGCGGCGCTGCCGCTGGCTCTCTGAGCGCAGGTGGCGGTCGATTCGCCGGGACCGACGCGCCGCCTCTTTCTCCTCTGAGCTTTGCCTACATCCCATGGTCTGGCAGCGGCGGGCCCAGACAGGAGCACGAGACTGGCGCCTCTCCTTCTGCCCCAAGAGAAGGGGACGCTGAGACGCAGGTGGCGTGCCCGGCGGACGACGGAGCCCCGCTGCCCTGGAGCGCTCAGTGTGGGCGGTGGGGCAAGGCCAGGCCCCACTGCAGCCCCTGCCCCAGCGCCTCTTCTGCGGCTGGCATGGTGCTCCTGCTGCGGGAGGTGGCCGAACCCTCCCTCTAGTGACACTCCCCCTCCCCGGGCTGCCACCTGGCCTGATGCGCAGCAGTCATTTCCTGTCCTCCTGATGGTGGGAAGCAGTCCACTCGCCTCTGCCCACTTGCCTCTGCCTAGGCTGCTGCCGTCTGGTCCCCGGTTGCTGTGGCGATGCTGCTAAGTGCGGCTGGAAGGCCTGCCGCCAGTGCCGCTGCCACGGGTGCTCCCTGCGGCCCCCCTGCCTCGGGCATCCGCCCTTCACCTGCCAACACAGAGAAGAGCATGAGCCTCCTCCCGCCATGGGAAAGGGAGCCTTCTGGAAAGCAGAAAGCTGCCCGGGGAACAATGACTTGAGTCCCCTCCCTCTGTGGAGCCCCACAGAGCTGGTGCCGAAACCACAGCAAACACACTGGCCACTGCACCCTGCGGCCAGTTTGCTGAAGCCAGGTGCTCGAGGAAAGGGTGCCCAACCATGAGAGGGTCTTCAAATTGCGGGGAGCAAGTCCAGGCCTTGCCGCCCCTCCCTGCCCACTGGACCCGGCGACCTCACCCTCTCTGAGCCTCGGTCTCCCTGTCTGGTGGTGGTGAGGATTCAACCTGGCGGCCCTGCTCTGATGCTGCCCTGTGTCCTCTTCTACAGCTGCTGGGGCTGCACCCACATGTGCTGTGGCATCCATAGGGCTCAGCCCCTCCCTGACTCATGGCGGGGATACAGGACAGGATAGCTGGGTGCCCCCACTCTTACCACCTCCCACAGGAGCTGGGTCACCCCTGCTCTCTCCCAGGGCAGGACACTCACCGGGAGGAGGCTGGCTGGCCCCGGGAGTGAGCAGACAGGCAGGAAGCAGAGAGAGGTAGAGGAGCTGGGAGCACCACAGGGTGGACAACAGCCTGGGGCTGGGGCTCTCTGGGGGGCAGGGTGGCTTCCTGCTGGTGGGTGAGGTGGAGGGAGGCTCAGGCTGGGCAGGCTGAGTTGCGGCAGCAGAGGCTGGGAGGGGCCGGGTGGTGGCCAGCTGTGGACGGTGGGATGGGCCAGAGCAGTCCAAAGCCTTGGGGGCGGGGGCGCGGAGGGGATCGCCGAGTCCAGGGCAAGGCAGGGACCCAGAGGCTCCCTGTCCCAGGCTGTCTTTCATGTTCCCACCCCTGCCTTGTTGATCACTCAGGACATCTGTAAGCTCTTGCCGGGGGTCCCCCAAGCAGCTGTGGCCAGGGCCCGCCCTCCAGAGCAGCTCAGGTTCTCCCTGCAACTGGGAGCCCAGGATGGGATCTGACCCCAATCTACCCCCACACATACCTCTTGCCACTTTCCCCCAACCTCAGCCCCTGCCCGGCGGCCTTCTGCAGCCTGCCCGTTCTGCCGTGCTCAGCGTTCACGCCTCTCACGCCCCCATCCCCCATATGGCAGGGAGGACCTGAGGCCGGCAGACCCTGAGAACCGGAACTCGCCTGGTCTCCCCACCCGTCCGCACACTCCCAGCTGGTCTGTTCGCCCACGAGTCCTAGCGATGCTGCTCTGGAGCAGGCTCCAAGTGCCTGTTCTCCCCTGGGCCGGGGCTCCCATCTCTCCCCGCGCCCTGGGGCCCGCCTGCCTCCACAGCCAGAGGTGCTTTAAGCATCTCACACTTCTCCCCCTGCAGCAAAGCTCCCTGTACCCCAACTACTCATAGGCTTATGAGTCTCGTCCCAGCTGGCAAACTGTACACACAACTCCACAGCTCAGAGCTCATTTCTCACCAGTCACAAGTGTCCTTGAAAAGTAAAGCATCCAGCGCAGTGCCTGGTACCCAGCAAGTGCCAGCCGGCCACTGTCCCCGTCACCTGTGAGCGCCCCCTTCCCCCTTGTCCCGCCTCCTCTGATGTTTCCATCCCCTCTCTGCCCTGCTCCCAGTGGCAGGACTCGGTCACCTGGGACCAGGCAGGCCTGTGTGCGGATGCCGCATGCCTTTCCCAGGGCTGGGGCCGGGGGCGCCAGAAGCAGGGCCTGGAGCATGGCCTGGCTGGGCGCCCAGAGGGTGCTCGTTTGTGCTGGTGGGAGGGAGGGAGGAGGGAAGGAGTCAGACTTAGGGAGGCCGAGGGACTTCACCAGTTCATAGCAGCCCTGCCTGCCTGTGGGGCAGCTGTGGGTGAGGGCTGCACAAGGGGACGCCTGGGACAGGGCTCTGCTGGGGGAACGGTGCCTAAACAGAGGTTGGAAATTATGCTTAGGATGTAAGTTCTGCCTAGTCCAGGGCGTAGGAGGTGCTTGTGGAGCATGTGTTGCAGGGTGACATGTACATAATACACGCAGCACATATGCTCACACACGTGTGCGTGTGCTGTGCAAGCAGAGGTCTGGGACGTCATTCCCCAAGTAGCACTGAACCAGGAGAGATTTGTTCCTTCTTTGTATTTTACCGTATGGACTGTATTTTCTTCAGTGACTTCTGCCATGAGGAAGGCTTGGAAATGAGTCTCCGGGCACTGAAAAGGCCCTGTCTCTCATGGCGCCTGGAACCGCCTCTCCCCGCCTTGCACCGTGAGTGGGTCGGGCAAGGCCCCAGTGCTGCTCCCTGGTCACTGCTGATGGCCCAGCAGCCCTCTGGGTATGGACAGGAGCCCAAAGCCCTCAACCTGCTGCCGGGGACGCCCTGCCACACCGAAGCTGCCCAGGACCCCTGGGGCCTCCCTGCCGGCACCACCCCTCCCAGGCGATGCTACTGACCTCCCTACCCAAGGCAGTGATGGCCCCATGTTGCCATTACTGTTATTCTCAATTCTGTGCTTTGAAATGTGAGGTGCAGACAGGCCTCATGTGATCAACTGTCCCTCAGTTGGTCAGTAACGACAAAGATCATCCAGAAGAGCAGGTCCCTCCCACTATTTGTTGTCACCTGGGACAAGCAGGCTCCCTGGTGCTAGGTCTGCAGCCTTGGGGTGCCCTGCAGTGACCTCTCTCTTGGGACACAGCCTAGCCCAAACAAGTTCTCTGCCTGGAATCACGTGGGACAGTCTCTTGCCTCCAAGCAGACCTGCACTTGAACAGAGACGCCAGCTGCTTCCTTGGAGGGCCGGCCTCGATCACTCTGCCTCAGGCCCTTCTCAGACCCAAACCCTCCCCTGCAGTGGGGCCTCAGGGAGGCTGCCGGGCCAGCCTGGCACAGGCTGTTCCCGGGAGGGCTCGCCTGTCACCGGGGCTGCCCCTGCCAGCAGTGCCTCTCGTCTGGCTCCTGTGCCGGAACTCTGCCTGTTCGCCACAGAGCAGCTCCCGCACAGCTGCCCCGCCGAGAGCAGGCCCCGTCCCCTCCTGCTCCCTGCGCCTCTTCCTACCGTGCTTCCCTTTCTCCGGTCTCTCCTGCCACACTGGGATTTCTGTAAAAGTGCTGAGGGCCTTACCTAAAACCATATACAAAATTAACTTAAAATGGATCAGAGACTTAAAGGTAAGACCTAAGACTATAAAACTCTTAAAAGCATAGGTCAAAGCTGCCTGACATTGAATTTGGCAATGATTTCTTGGATATGACATCAAAGATACAGGCAAGAAACAAAAAAAAAATCTACAAACTGAATTTAATGAAAATTTAAAAATTTTGTACATCTGAAGATAATATCCACATGTTAAAATGGCAATTCCCCAGACGAGGAGAAAATATTTGCAAATCACACATCTGATTAGGGGCTAATATCTAGAACATATAGGAAACCGCTAAAACTCAACAACAAAAAATCCTTCTTCAAAAGTGGGCAAAGAATTTAAAGAGACACTTCTCCAAATAAGATATACAAATAGCCAATAAGCACGTGAAAAGATGCCCAACATCACTAATCTTTAGCACAATGCAGATCAAAACCACAATGAGATACCATCTCACACCTATAAAGTGGCTATTATTAAAAAAACAAACAAACAACCCTAACGGAAAATAACAAGCATTGGCAAGAGTGTGGAGAAATCACAACTCTTGTGCATTGTTGGTGGGAATGTAAAGAGGTGCAGCTACTATGGAAAACCAGCATGGTGGTTCCTCAAAAAATAAAAAATAGAACTGGAATACAATCCGGCAATTTCACTTCTGGACACATACCCAAAGGAACTAGAATCAGGGTCTTGAAGAGATTTCTCTACCCATTTCTATACAGCATTATTCAGGTAGCTAGTGCGCAGAAGCAACCCGAGGGTCTACGGACAGACGAATGGATAAACAAACTGGTCCATCCTCATGAGGAAACAGCAGCCTTACAGGAGGAAGGAAGTTCTGACCCATGCTACATATGGATGACCCTTGAGGATATTAAGTGAAATACGCCAGTCACAAAAGGACAATACTGTATGATTCCACGTATATAGATGAGGTCCCTAAAGTCATAAAATTCAGAGACAGAAGGTGGAGCGGTCAGTGTCGGGGGGAGGGGATGCGGAGCTGTTGTTTAACGGGGACAGAGTTTCAGTTCGGGAAGATGGAAAAGTTCTGGAGACGGATGCTGGTGATGGTTGAACAACATCAATGTATTGAATGCCACTGAACTTTACACTTAAAAATGGTTAAAATGATAAATGTTATGGGTGTGTTACCACCAAAAAAGTTTTGTTGGAGACCTGCCAAAAAGAAAAAAAAAAGGCAGAAGGTCACATGTTGTGGGAGACAGAGAGGCAGCCTGGTGACCAATCCTGGCTTCCCCCACCACTGACATGGGCTCTTCTGGGCCCACATCGTCCATGCTGTGGATGGCCCGGTGCCAAGTCTCGTGGTGGGGCCAACCTCGCCCATCCAGCCCAGGGTCCACAGCCACCCTGTCTGAGGAGGCGGGACTTGTGCTTTGGGAAGTGTGTGCTCCACGACCTCATGGCCGAGGGCCAGGCTTCTGAGAATCAGGACTCTACCAGTGCATACCAGGAGCCACAGGGCAACACAGGAGAAAAAGGGGGACAGTGGCCAGGTGGCAGCCGTATGCGTCCAGCCAAGCAGTCTGCCATCTGCACCGGGCAGCCACCAGCCGTCACATCAGAGGCAGTTCCCTCTGCTGGAGGCACCCTCTTCCTTCCGATCGCAGGGCCAGCACGCAGAAGGCCCCACACAGGCCCCCCTTGCAGCTCTGCGGGGCTCAGCTGCATTCCAGCGGGGTGAGTGCTGGCGCACGGACCTGGCCGTGGGGGGTCGGGGCTGGGCTCGGGCTTGGGGCAGGAGGTCTGCGTGTGGGAGTCTGGGCTGGCCGAGTTCCAGTCAGGACCTCAGAACAGTCCCCCTGCTCTGACGCTCCGCTTCTTTGCTTTTATGCAAGGCT